CGGGCCCGGGCAGGGGGCCCCCGAGCCGCTGCCTTCTTGCCGGCCGCCGAGCCCCATTTCCTGCTTTTTCGGTTTCCTCCGGGAGGGAGGGGGTGTGTGGATGAATTCTTCCGGGGGTCCTCGATGAGGCGGGCCTGGGGGCCGCGCTCCTGTTAGAGGGTCCCCGCGGGACGCCGCTGGGGAAGAGGCTGTCTTTGCCTGGGCGGGGGACTTCCGGAGCCTGCTGGGACCATGACCTGAACTGTGCAAACGGGACGTGTCGGAAGCCCGAGAGCCAGCTCACCTGAGCCGCCCTGTCCCCCGGCCAGTATGGTAAGTGGCGTCCGAGCCCCTGCCCACCCCGATGTCGGGTCTCGGGGGTGGGAGCGGGCTCCAGGGCGGCTGAGCCCTCGCTTCTCCCTGGGCCGGGGAGAGGCGCGTGTGGAGCCCGGCAGTGACACATGCGTGTAGGGTTTGCAGCCCCAGTGTGCCGTCCCCTCCCCCCTCCCCCAGAGATGTCTCAGGACTGGGAGTAGCCGACACTACTTTTGCATCTGCTGTTTGCCGCCCTGACAGTGTTGCTCATCATGACAGTAGCCATCATTTATTTATTGAGGCCTTACTATGTGCGAGGCCGTAGGCCAAGTGATTGACGTGTATTAGTTAAGTAGCACATCAGGCCTCTCTTCTCAACCTGGGACACTGAGGCACAGAGCAACAGTTGCAAGGTCATTTGACAGTGGAGAGAGTTGAACCGAGGCAGTCTGACTTTTGCTGTCATTTTACATATACGGGGATAGGCAGATTTAGATGGGGTCTTGAAGACTATTTCATCCATTGTAGGCTTCTGTATGGGAACACCGAGGGAGGGTTCCTGATTGCAGAGGTCACTTACTTGGATAACAGCAAGGTCAAGAACAGTGAGACTCTTGGCCACTCTGTCTGCTCTTCTGCTGCAGGCGTGGGCTTTTGCCCTGATAGTGCCTGGAAAACTAATCATCCTTCCAGCTGTCTCTTCTGAAGATGCTTCTCTCATTTTCTACACTCTCATTTTCCACACCAGTAGACACAGGATTCCCTTCGATAGGTGTCCTCACATCTGTTTGCCAATGGACTTTTGTTATGTCATTGAGCTTTTCAGTTCCCTCAGAGATGAAATTTTCTGAGTCTGTCTGCTCCAGCTCCTGACACACAGCCAAGAGCAGGGTTGATTGTCCTGTGTGTTGAGTACCCCAGTGACAGAGCTGTTCTCCATCAGGCTGCCCAGTTCAGTAGAGGGGGGAGCAAAATGACATGTGTGATGCAGATGGCAGGGGGTGTTGAGAACATTCAAGACCCCGGAGGTGGTGTGTTCTGTTCCTTCCGCTACTGGCCAAAGGGCGCCGGTCATGCGAGCAGCACTGTCCCTTGTCTGCACTTTTGCTTTCTAGGTTTCAGTTTCTCCAGGTCATCAGTGGCCCTCAAGAAGGCCACATTCACATAACCTTCATGATTGTTTTGTTTTATTGTTAGTTACTCATGTTATAATCTCTTAATTTAAACTTTCTCTTAAGTAAGTATATGGGGGAAAATGTCTATCACTGTAGATATGGTTTGTACTCTCTGCTTTCAGGCATCCACTGGGAGTCTCAGGACATGCCCTCTGGGATCAAGGGGACTGCTAAAGATGCTACATGTAGCATAGTGACTGACCAGTTAGCTTTCTTGAGTCACAATTTCCTCATCTGTAACATGGAGATAAGAATTCCGAGTGAATAATCCAAATGTATGCACTTCATTCATTTAATGAGCTCCTTTTTTTTTTATTTTTAAAGATTTATTTATGCACACAGAACTGGCGTACAGGCCAGAGGTGCAGGGAAGGTGAGAGGATTCACCAGAGACAGAGTGGGGAGCAGAACAGGCAGATCAACGAAGTACACTGCTGAGGGGAGCAGTGGACAGGACAGGAGAGGTCTGCTGTGCCATGTGGGTCACTTCCGGGGCCGAGATCAAACATACTGAAGTGGCTTTAGCTTCTTAGTGCTGCGCTTTAACCCACTGAGCCATCAGGGAGGGCCTGTTTTTATTTTTAAATTGTGGTGCAATATGCATGTAAAAGTTAACATTGTAGTTATTTTTAAGTGTAGTCTGGTGGCATAAGTGTACTTGCACTGTTGTGTGACTATTAGCACCATCCATCATTCCCAGAACTTCTTTCATTTCGCAAAACAAACTCTGTATCCACTAAATAATCTCTCTCCTTATTTCTTGGCCACTAACACTCTGTTCCTGGGACTACCTAGGGTATGTAAGTGGACTTATACCAAATTTGTCCTTTTGTGACTGGCTTTTTCACCCAGCAGTCTTTCAACTTTACCCATAGTGTATCATGTATCAGAATTTCCCTCCTTTTCCAGGATGATTGGTACTCTGTTGTGTGTGCGGGTATACCATCTTTTGTCTTCTATTCATCTGTTGATGGACACCTGGGTTACTTCCACCTTTTGGCTGTTGTGAACAGAGCTGCTGGGAATTCATCTTACAGTGAGGTTTAGCCGCTAATGCCAGGCTCTGGGGTGTGTACAGGTGAATCAGGTGGGCGTAGTCCTCCATCTGCAGAGGGGCTCACAGTATTGCTCTGGGACCTCTGGACAAAATTTTTAAAGAAATTTTAGTGGCTGTCAGATAAACCAGCCAAGCATTCTCGATTTTAGGTTTCATTGTAATTGACAGTTATGAAAATGACCTCTTTGAGCAGTTAAAGTAGTTGATTTCATGATCATTATCTACGCCTTTTCCTGAGGTAAGTTTCAGGTCCAAGTTTTACAACCTAGATGTCACTTATTTAAGCACAGGGGTGGCCACAGTGGCCGAGAGGGGAATACGACCATCTAATGATGTCCTTCCTGCATCACTGACACCATCCTTTCCTGTCTGTGACGAGTGGGATGGCCAGGCCTCGTCCTCAGAATGCAGTCTT